ACACACAGCGCTCTTTTCGTCTCTAACTCACTGGGATTTAGACATCACTAAAGTTGGTCTATGCTTGTAATAATGTACTTTTGAACAGAAAAGTCACGGAGCCATGCACGGAGCTCGAGTTGGTGCACCAGTATAATCGGTCCGTCTGAAACTCATCCAGTGAGGAAGGTTCCGCGGTGCAAAAACACATACGATTACAATGTGTCAATATTTTTAACGCACTAATTTTTGTGGCGTTAATTAATCTTAATTAACGCGTTAAAGTCCCAGCCCTAAGAATAATTGATAAATCTTCTGAGAATTTTTTCTAGAATATACTTAAATCAGAATTACATAGTTGATTTTAGCAATGACTATTTAGTTTGTGTATTTCACATTAGCCAAAGAAAAACATAGAACATTAGAAGAATGCCATGACAGTGTGGTTTCTGCAGTAGACGGTAACGAGGTGAACCTAAAACTGTAGATGTGGCAGCTGAGCAGGTACGTTCCAAGTGTTGTCTCTGCCATGTACTGAATTATTGAACTGAGCCTGGCTGCTTTTTGATCTGTGCTTTAGTGAGCCCACATAGACCTCAAACTGCCATTCACCGGGATGTGTGCATCCATTGAACACGCATTCCCTATTATGTACATCCTGTGTAAAATATAACATTTTATTTGGCCGCAGATGCTTGTCAGAGTTGGGGCAGTACTGCAATGAGAGACCATTTGGATTTGTGTGTGGCGGACATTGTTGTTGTGTAAATTTCACTCACAGTGTATTGAGTGAATGTGGTGTGTGTGATGCTAGCTCAGGGGCCTGTTCTGTAAGTCCACTTCTCAGATGCTTACCTACGACTCTATGCGTAAAGCCGTACTGTTGTCTGGACCTGGTGCATATTCAGATCTGTATCCGAGTGTATAAGTGAGTAGCAGCGTGGGAGTATCCAGCCTAAATTAAGAGAGAGAGTATCGCCTTCAAACACGGAGATGTTTTATGCAGAAGCCGATGTCACTGCTCAATGCATGAAGACATTTCATTTTCATGCATAAGTGCAGCCGTGTAGACCAGGGAAATTGCAGTGGTGGGAAAGTAGAAAATAGAGAGAGGAAAATCAAGCCCATTCTCCACGGAACTCTGTCATTATTCTCTCTGATTTGTAACCATAGTGATGACAGCTCAGTCCCACACCGAGATGACAGCATTTTCAGAAACAGGTGGCAGAAAGTTGGATTGGCTCAGTATAGCTCTACATATTTAAGCTTTCAAAGATCAGTGATGTCCACACTGCCCCATAACACTTAATGAGGGCGAGAGTGTATATAACCTGTTTTATATTGTATTTGCTTACATGTGGGTGAGGTGAAGAAGGGTTATAGAACAACTCACAATGAAGTCACACAAAGGACTGCGTATTGACAGTGGGACAAGCCATGTACAAAGGTGTGGCTCTTGCCGTTAAAGTTTGGGCTTTTGCATGTGCTGCTCTTTCCTTTATAAAGTTGTCCATGTAAAGAAATATGATGTGCATTTTTAAAAGTCTGAATCTTTCTGTTGAAACATTCTTGTCCTCACCGTAGTGGCAGCGTGGTTAGTGTCACTTATTAGGTTGAGATCCTGGTCAGATCAGGACCTTTCTGAGTGGGGTTTGCATGTTCTTGGCTTTACTTCGAGTGCTCCAATTCTCCATACCAATGAAAAACAGGTAAAATCCTGCAGCTCTGGTAGTTCTGACCAAGCCGAGTATCAACGTCTAGACATGAGTTCCTGACAGATCTCCTTTACTGCAGAGAGAAAAGTCCTCACAGCTGTCAGACTGAACAATAAGTCACTTTAATGACCTGCACTAAGACCGAATAACTCCTACTGCTACAGTCACTTTTAATTCTATTGAACATAGTATATCGCCAGTGGTTCAGTTGGTAGAGCATTGGCCTTTGAGCTCAAAGGTCGTAGGTTCGTAGGTTTGAGCCCACCACAAGACCATCAGTGACTCCCACTGATGATTGCTGTCGTTGTGACCTTGAGCAACATGTTTGTACAGTTACTGTCTTTTTGCACACCTTCTTGTGATTCTATTTATGCAAAATGTGACATGTTAGTTTCTCCATTGTGAGATCAATAAAGGTTTTCTAATCTTATCTTACTTTAAAGTGCACCAAACCTAGAAAACACACCAACCTTTCTTACTAATGTCCAGGGTCATGGGACTGCAGTGGGAAAAATCTCCACCCTAGCAGAAAGTCGTTTTTACTAACTGTTAATTAAATATCTTTATTCCATCTGTAGTGTTTCATCAATGGACGTTGTTGGAGAGTACTGTAGACGTTTTGTAATATTAATGAGACAGAAGCATGTTTTGTCCTCGTACTGTGACTCCTTCCAGACAAACTCAGACAGGAAATAAGTTACATCACGCAGTTTGGACACCAGATCTAATTAAAACATGATTTGAACAGGGAAAAGCAGAGAGCACTTTTGACCATGGCATCTGGAAAAAGTCTTATTTTAACTACACCTGCAGCAACAAATGTATCTGTTGTACAAGTCTTATCTGTCTGCAAATCAATGGCAGTAGACGGTCCCTTTTCCCTTTGTCTGTTTTTTTAGAGAAATCTTGCTGATGGCTTATTGATGTCTATGGTGCATGCAAGATGAAACCGGTCCAGCTCTTTTTAAAACTTTCATTTTGAATCACGCACAACAGAGAATGGCGGAGACAGAAAAGGTGAAATAGGTAAAATGTGATATTAGATCAGGAATGACGGTTCAGTGAGGTAAAGATCGTTAGTGTGCGCCACGGTGAGACAGAGAGTGTAACCTTGAGGCCCCATTGTCGCACTTTTAAGGTTCACTGAGGAATGATGAGGGACAAAGACTGAGCAAACCACAATCGGCGCATTCATCCATTCTCTATTCTCACCTCGGCGCATTCAGGTTCAAGTGAAAACCTCTGGGCTTTGAAACGTTTTGTACTTCATATAGTGGTGCGCTTTTATTGAGCTCATTATCAAGGAAAGTCTGATGCCTGAAGTTATTTCGACAGCCCTTTCGGAGGTCACTGTTCAACGATCTGAATGGAAGGAAATGTGCGGCGACGATGGGAAATTAACAGAGGTTTTGAACAAACTTTAAGTGTTTGTGTGAGACTTATTAGGGTTTTGTTTAAAGACACAAGTGGAAAATGAAACAATAAAATATTTGGCTTTGGCCAATTTTGGTTTTTTGGGGGTGGCAGTGGCTCAGTTGGTAAAGCATTGGCCTTTGAGGCAGAAGGTCGTGGGTTCGAGCCCACCGACTCCCGCTGATGACTGCTGTCGTTGTGTCCTTGGGCAAGACACCTGTAGGAGGATCATTGAGGGGTTGGTGCCCCCCTTGACACAGAAATGGATTAAGGGGAAGAAAATAGATGGATATTTCATGTTTTGCACATGAGGACCCTGGAAAACCTCTTCATAGAGATAACTTCTTTACACATTGCCATTGAGTTGTTTTTTTTAAAACATACTTTTAAAAACATTTAATTCCGCAGTCATATTTCTCTGAGTCATAAAACCATGTTAAAGTCTATGTCTGGTTTAACAAACAATTAATTGATGACTGATATAGTTACAATTGTTACAACCCTAACCATGGCTCTGAGAAGGGGAAAGGAACGTAATATAAACAACCAGGTGTAAATAGTAAATTCAATGGCCTTTGTACTGCCCTAAAAATAAATCTATTGATCAAAACTTGATCAAAATGAAGGAACAAAAGTCTCCAATGTGTTAAGCCCAACAAAGTTCTCACATAATGTCTCAAAAGGTAATATAAGGTCTCAAAAGGTTCTGTCTGCTCTTAAAGGAATAGTTCACCGTTTGTACATACTGACATATGTTCTTACCTTACCTTAGACTAGTTAATACATACCTGTCTAGTCTTAGTCCGTGCGCTCTGTCATGCAAACGGAGCAAAAACTGGAGCACAACCGCAGCCTCCTCTGTATATTTTGTAGCACCAAAAGGTAGCTCCCGCTAGAAGCTACCGAACTCTTCCAAGTGTTCCCTATTAAATGTATATAGTTACGTGACGTGTTTACACGCGGACGCTCCTAACTTCTCTGCGCACTAACTTCTCTCCGGAGACTTCTCTCTCGCTGCTACTGTGTGTACTACAAGTCACGCTGCTTCTATTGACGGAAGTGAGCGAGAGAGAAGTCTCCGGAGAGAAGTTAGTGCGCGGACGTAGCGCACCTCAGATTACTACGCCTCACAATATAGTACCCGTTTTATCCGCTGAGAAAATCGACTGTTACATTTCTGTGTTACTATACTTTGCAGTGTAACACGTCACGTAACTATATAAATTTAATAGGGAACACTTGGAAGAGTTTGGTAGCTTCTAGCGGGAGCTACCTTTTGGTGCTACAAAATATACAGAGGAGGCTGCGGTTGTGCTCCAGTTTTTGCTCCGTTTGCATGACAGAGCGCACGGACTAAGACCAGACAGGTACGTATTAACTAGTCTAAGGTAAGGTAAGAACATATGTCAGTATGTACAAACGGTGAACTATTCCTTTAAAAACACGTCTGTCTCCCATGAGTGGCGCACCGGATGTCTCCCTGCTGCTTTTTTGGCCATGAGAGGTCAGCTGGTGGCTCGGATTGGTTCGGCCGGAGATCCCAGCCTACAGGAAGGTTCTGGCAGCGTCCTGGAGGCTGAATTTCTGGCGGGAACAAGACTGACACACACGCAAGGAGAGGGAGGGGATTCTTTGCGCAAACAACTCAGACCCAGAAGCCGTAACAACAACAATTTGATTAATGAATTACCTTGATAAATGTATTATTCAAATGCGCATGGGGCCAGAAAAATGGCGTCGTAGCAGGAGCTCTGGTGTGTACTGGTGCCCACTGGGGTAGTCTTGCACAGTTATTCCAATGGGGTTTTACTGCAATTGGCAAATCAATTCTGGAATCTTAAATCTTGACTGTAATCTTGTTTTTTCACTATATGTCTTTTCTATTTGTTTTAGATTCGCTCTGACCAGGACAAAGATGTGGGCATCCGTTACAGCATCACCGGAGCAGGCGCAGACCAGCCCCCGAGCGGCATCTACAACATCGATCCGATCAGCGGGAACATGTTTGTCACACAGCCTTTGGACCGAGAAGAAAGGGCCTCATTCCATGTAAGAATTCTCTTTTTTTGTTATAATTCTTGTAAATATCTTAGAAAATACGCAGTGAAACAAGTCCGTCCATCCGTCCATTTTCTTCCGCCTCATCCATTGCCAGGTCGCGGGGAAGTTTGAGCGGTAAATAATGCTGACTGGCTGATAATCCTTATGCTACCACCAGAGGGAGGTGGAGCAAAAAGTAGTCCCGTCGTTTGAATATTTTAATATATTTCACGACCTGACAGGCCCATGTAGCACACAATATTTCTCTGTTCTTACCACAATTTGTCAAGTTCCCTCTGCCCTCACCACCGCTGCCTACATCCACATCATTACCACCTCATTATCCCACAATTATCTCTGCAGAAACCAGCCTTAACTTTTTGTCTCGCCATGTGTCTACCTTTCATATGAATGTCGATTGTGCCAAAAAGGAACAGCGAGAGACGTCTGGCAGGACTCGACCATTCTGTTCGCATCAGCCAGTCCCTGTCTGCCGAGAAATGAAGAATACCACTTGACAAAACCCACAGACACTTTGGGCTGTCATTCCAATTTGAGTTTTACCTGCAAAATATGGAGTGAGAAATGGTCGGATGAAGGAGGGAAAGACAGAGAGATGGAGAAGTTTGGAAGCTAATGAGCTGAGGCAGAAGTTGGTGTGAGGGAGACTGTCGACTCATGTCATTAAGGACAAGTATGAATATTTATGTAATGAAGTTGGAACCTGACATTGACGAGTGTGGGCTTTTTGGATGCACTCTGTTATCGCTGTGTTAAACGTGTGCGTTTGTTTATGCGAGCTTTGTGAGCTTATTATAGTGTTTTTCATCTTCCGCGTGTGGAGTGAATGGTAAAATATACTCCAAAAACATTGTACGTGCTTTCGGTGACCTTGGTCTGTGAAATGTGCTATATACAATGTGCTATAATCTTTCTCTACTTTTGATTGGTTTGCACCGAGAGCCAAAGCAATTTTCTAGTCTGTGACTTCCTGTTACTTACATGGCAATAAACATGATTCTGATCCTCGTTCTAAATAGGGATTGTCTACTTACTTACTTACACTGCAAAAGGTGATGAAAATTAAGTAAAAAAAAAATAGCAAGGCAAGTTTATTCGTATAGCACAATTAATACACAAGGCAACTCAAACTGCTGAACGAGATAAGATAGCATTAAAATCATAAATAATCACAGTATATTAAAAAGAAAGATAAAAATATAAAATCCCTCAGTTGTATGCACAGCTAAACAGAACTGTTCTCAACCTGGTTTTAAACACTGTCAGAGAAGAGGCCTGTCTCACACTTTCAGGAAGATTGTTCCAGATTTTAGCAGCAATAATCTGAAAAGCTGCCTCCCCATGTTTAGTCCTGATTCTGGGCACGAACAGGAGTCCCGTCCCTGTGCTCCTCAGAGTCCGGGCTGGTGCATATAGGACTAACCTGTCACTAATAAATGCTCAAATTTGGCAAAATAAATTTGAGCTCATTCTGACTTGCTTGTCAAAGGTGTCTCTTTAAACCTTAAAATAAGACTAAATGGCTAATCTTGTTTTTAGACGATCAGAATGTTTCATATTAAGAAAAAGATGACAGAAATATTTTCCTCATATTTTATCATTTTTTGCAGTGTACGTACAGTTATGTATCCATGAGGCATATCCCTATTCAACAGTATGGACTATTTTGAACCACTTAAAGGAGCAGCTCTCAGTGTTTCTTGTCTACAGACTAGAGAGAAAAAACAACAAATCACCACCCCTAAAAGTACTAATTTGTCTTCATTAGTCACTACACATGTTTAGAAGTTATGAAGGATAAACATTGATAACATTCTGTGCCCATGTTGCCCTCTTGCCTCACCCTCAGCTTGAACCCTATCTGTTTCATGTGCTAATGTTGAATTTGACATTTGCTCCTCCACAAATCCTGCAGCTTTTCTCGGAACCATCACTTTCATGACCAGTTAGAGGCAAAACTCTGAAATGTTGAATATTGTTCAAAAGTTCATCTATTTCTATAATTCAGCTTAAAATCTGAAACCAACATCTGATATAGACTCACCACCTGCAAAGTTACATATACCAAGCCATTGTTTGTTATAATTTAGTTGTTTTAGATGTTTTATTTGGGTTTTTCACTATCATTGAACCCTTATATATACATTATTGTCCATACATTATTATACATACTTTTACCTTTACTTATACCTTTAACAGGGGTGCACACTGGGGTGGTCTTGCACAGGTTTTCCAATGTGGTTTTACTGCAAATGGCAAATAAATTCTTGACTCTTGAATCTTTACAAAAGGAGGTATTGTGTGGCCCCCACTGAGAGTCTGGGATAATGTGGCCTGGTATAGGTTGATTTAAAGCTAATGTTATAAGAAAACAACCACAGCATTTATATTTCCTTAAGCTTTTCCGCTGAACATGATCAGTCATAATTCCATGTAAATAATATTTACCACAGCGGTCTACAACACTCGGGCTTCACACCTTTGGTCCAGTTCACTCATATTCATAAATATTAAGTCGCACAACGCTTGATTCCTGGCTTTCCTGTTTTCATCTCTTTTCTTAACACAGACATTTACTTTCTTGCTAATATTTTTAAATGATAATGAGTTTGAAACCCAAGTGTAAATCAGTCCAGGAGCCAAACTGCGTGTGCAAAATAATGTAGCGTTTGCAATTTAGGCGTTTATTTCAACACACGCATCCATTTGATCTTATTTTAGCACATTTAGCGCACACACAAACAAGTGATAAATACAGTATACCCCTTGGTGCAGTCCAGCTTCACCCAGACTCGACCTTGTACGGCCCCCAGCTTAATTGAGTTTGAGACCCCTCGCCTGTAACGAGTCTGTCACATACAGTATTAGTTTCACATAGTGAGTCGAGTCACTGAAGTAAATGGACTGTTGTTCTAACACTATCTCTCCATCTCGGGTCAAAGCAAACCAGCTTTGGCTTTAATGTTGCATGTGTACACTTGTCCCTATCAAATAAAAAAAGGTTCACCTGTAAAAGAGATGCCGTTGGTCAGATCTGATGGCCATACCTGCACGTGAAAGCCAGATCCTGTCAGACCTCTGAAGCTGTGCAGTTCAGGGCCTGGTTAGCACTGTGATGGGAGACCTCTGGAAACACCACGTGTCACTGTGGAGCGGTTGCATCTGCAAAGTACCGTTGTTGTGTCCTTAGGCAAGACACTTCACCCACATTGCTCGGAATGAGTCTGGTGTGTGTGTGAATTGCTGGTGGTGGTGGGAGGAGTCGAAATGTGGCTGCCACCCTCTCTAGGTAGCTCTTTGAGTGTCCTGAAAAACGCTATATAAAACCAATGCATTATTAGTTTTATTATAAGGCGTTGTCTCGTTCTGGTCGATAACTGCGAGGTGTCGGATCACACAGAAAAACTCACCTTCACCTTTAGTGGCTTTGTATAAACATGCACGCACAGTAGAATTGACTTTGGGAGACAGCAGACAGGACTAACATCTGGGCTGGGAGTTGACTGGTTGACAGCCTCACTTCGAAGCCGCCCGTCAACATGATAGATGGCAGCCTGGTGCATGGGCCTCGTTCAAAAGCACAGTCCTGTCTCCGGGGAGGGATCGAGTAAAGCTGCGATGTCTTCATTGTCATACATTATCAACACAGCGGCAGTCTCACATGATAGTTGGAGTGATTGGTTTGTCTGCTGTGGCACTCTGAAATGGTGTTTCAATAAGCCTTTTGTTCTGTTATCAGAACGGGGACAGAGTTTAAAGCTTTGCGGTTGTTCGTGGCTCCAGTGTGGAGTCTATGAGAAATGTACAGTGGAGTCCTGACTGTATCTAGTACTGAAGGATGAGCTCTTGTGTGTGCGCTGTTAACTCTTGAAGACGTAAATGCTTTCTAGTAGAGTTGTCAATTATTCAGCCATGTGTATTTTATCTTAAATATTACACAATATTTTTATACATTCAAAAAGAGGATACTATTTGGGTCTCCAATCTGTAGCTTGGGAGCCACCAGTAGCTCGCCACCCCCTCTAGGTAGCTCGCCAAAGGATTGAGAAATGAACAAATTAAATAATATCCTTAATAATTCAGATTGTATTATTCATTATCAGTATTTATTTTTGTAAATGATCTAACTTTGTGCACTATTTACACATATGCAATGATAAATAAGGAATTTACCCAATATCAGCCTTGTTCACACCAAAACATCACCACATTTTTCCCAGGGCCGCTTAAAGGAGTAGCTCTCTACCTTTATCGTCCCGGGAAAGTAGCTCTTCAGTAGAAAATACAAAGTGAAACAAGTATGAAAGGTAAAACATGTTCTCAGCCCTTCATACTGACATACTATCTTTAAGGAGAAGTAGAATTGTTTTTTTGTTTGTTTTTTTTTTTACAAATTTGAAAATCACCAGCTGCAATCACAGTAATGTGGTTGTGAGAAAATGCTAAAATCACTGTACGAACACTAATTTAGTTTAAACGCTCACAGCAAAAAAAATGGAACGGCTCTGTGTGTGATGTCATAGTGGTACAATGACATCATACCATTACAGGTCTGAGACAGAAGCTTTTATTTGACAGAAGGGGCGGATTCATCAAGTTTTTTTTTCATATACACAACTTCATACTATCATTCAGCCAACTTCATCTCTGCCAATATACCTAAGGCTTGTAACCTCTCGTGAGAAAATAAGCATTCATCATTCAGGCAACTTCAGCTCCATCCAATTTTCAAGTCTGTTTTAGAATCCACACATTGGCTTTTAAGTTCCTTACACAAGAATTGTTGGGGTATTTTGTATACACACACAATTACACATTGTATTTTTTTTGAAAGCCAATTCCAGTATCTTTTGCAAGCCCTTGTGTGTGTCACTATTGATGCTGAGTGAGTTTGATCGTCTCTTTTCCACTGCCTGAAAAAGAGGATGGTTCTTACATCTTTGACAATAACAAGCATTCAGTTTTGACTTGCTTAACTGCAAAGAGAG